GAAACTTAACATTTTTTTCTGTAGCTTACTTGAGCACATTATGCTCATGAAAATAAAGCGGGATGTTAAGTTTGATAGGCAACGCTTTGGTAATAAATAATCCTTTTTATTGTTCTTATTATTATATTGTAATATCTACAACGATACATTAGAAATAAGACAGTGCTTCTGATCTCAGAGGGATCTACGAGGTCCGGGAGGGAAAATTTCGGGATGAAGACCGACAAAATGGAAAAATAATTGTTTTTTTTTTCCATTAGCCCATATTTGTTTACTTGATCGATACAAGCTAAATAATTAAACAATCATAATGTATTCTCTTCTTAAATTATAATGCATATGCAACTATTAAATGTAACCACGTGTCACGAAAAATTATAGGAAATGTATCTCAAAAAGCATTAAGGAAAGTATTGCGATAGGGTCAAATTTCCGATATGCGGTTTTCGACGGATCTATACGTTTCAGAGCCCCCTGAGTTTCAGAGCCACACAAGCTTCACTATTTCCGCTACTTTTAACAGAAATTATTTTTTGACAATGGCAAAAAGTTTTTGATCAGCAATATTATAGGGTATTGAAAATTTTATACGGATCTACCTTAAGCCGCTTTACATTACTTTAGTTTATCAAATAAATCGTACTCAATTTTCTATATTTATTCGATCAATTTTCAGGAATATAAATCTAATTCTTGATGGACATATGTAAAGATATAAATACTTTTCTTTAAATAGGTAGGAAAGTCGGGTGAGTGAAAAGTCGTGACACCAGATTTTTTTTTTTTTGGAATCAAAGACCACATAAACGTGATTTCATAGAGGCAGTTTTTTAAATATAAATATGTATATATATATATATATATATATATATATATATATATATATATATATATATATATAAATAATAGGCCCAAAAATTAAATCATGGATCCACAACTGCTTCTGTAGTTTGGTTGTTTAATGAAACACTTAAACATCTTTCAAGCTTATCTATTCTTCTTACGATTTGAAAATGAAATCAAACAACACTTGGAAGGGGTTCGAGCATGAAACATATTTTTAATAGTGGATGAGAGACAAAATTATATTTCAGATAATAAATGTAGTCACCTATTATAGATTTTATTTCCAATTGTTACAAGAGTTTTTATATAGTGTTATTGAAATTATTTGCGCAATGAACGATTATCTTCCGACCGATGGAGTGCGAAACAATTACACGGGAATGCCATAACGGTATAAATTATTTATTGAGCCGAATAGAATTATTGAAGCGTTACATGGCGCCATCAATTTCAATTCAATTACGTAAGCGGGGAATATATATCCGGTTTGTTATTGTCTGTTTGTTTAAACGGATATTTACCTTTGTCTCTCTCTCTCTTTGTCATTGGTGTTTACACTGTATTATTTTTTTTCCTTATTAAACATTATGGGGAGCTCTGAAAGAAAGTTGGGAGACGGGGAAAAGAAGACGGGGAGAAAGTTGGGAGATCTGTAGTCCAAAATACATGCTAGTTGTTTGTATCGCCTGGTCAGTTCTTGTTTTTTTTTTAAATTGGTGGGTATGTTCCAATTGAGTTTTTTGTCCAAGTATAGTTCGAGATGTCGAACATGAGTTTTTGAGGTAACTTGTTGTGTATTCTCACAGTAGGACACGAAATCTTCCACAGAGAGAAAATAAATGGCTTGACTTGCTGCCATTACTTTTTCCATTTGTTGCATCATTTTTCTAGGTCGTGGAGGTAATTTTGAAGGGAAACTGAAGCAATGTTAGGATTTTTGTGGGAAAAAATAATTGCAGTGTCGTCAGCGAAGCTATAAAGGGTGGTGCTTGGATGCACGGGGATATCAGATGTGTAGATAGTAACCATTTATAAAATTAACTAGAAATATAATCAGAATTAGATAAATTATTTCATTAAAACTCAAACAGGTACTGGTCCCATCCTATTAGCAGACAAAACAGCTTTGAGTGCTCCACTAAATACTTGTGGCGAGGCCAGAGACCTGAGCTCTCAGAAGTGTCTAATGAAATATTAACCGAGTGGAAAGCGGACGGATTAATAAAATATTTAACTTCGCTTTCGGCATCCCAGTCCTACTGGCCTTCTCTTGAGGGTTAACTCATTCGACCCATATCGATCGCTAGGAAAAGTAAAAAAATCTTATGTGGTTACAATGAAGGTTTTTTTTAAAGAAAATTCTGAAGTTTTTGTTTCTTAAATTATATAACGCAAAACGCAGTAAGTATGTCTTAATAAATCGTCTAAAAATAATTATAAAAAATTTATAAAAACTACTTAAATATTTTCTTTTTCGATAAAGAAATGAATGAAACAAATTTTTGGTTTACACAAAATATAGACTAAAACATTCAGTTCCAGGTTGGATATTTAATCAATTAATGTTGTCAAAAAGAATCAAGGCTCGATGTGAGAGTAGAGAAAAGTTTCGAAAAGAGGGAACAATAATTAATTATCCAGAAATGAATTATGAAATATTGTCAAATAATGTGATCCGTGTATGCCTCCCGAAAGCCCCCTCCCCCGTAGATCTGCCTGTGATTCAGTTATACATCTGCTTTTGGCCTTCCACGTGGTCATTCGCCTTCTATTAAGCCATTTTAAATTTTCAACAGGACGTTTCAAATAATTAGATATCCCCGGACGAACATGAAACAATTGGCATACTACAGCAGAGGAAACATTCCTTGCATTAGCATGCGATGTGGAGAAAATATGAATTATCATAAATGCATTCAAAACAATATTATGGGATATGACGATATTATGGAATCGCTGTTTCTGTGGGTTGTAGCTCCAACTGAGAGGTAACATCCTGTCCAGAAAAAGTAATATTTTTCTTTACTCTCATCAGACCATCATCTACTATGACGTAGAAACGTGGACATTGAGTAAGAAGTACGAAATAAGTCTATTAATATTTTAAAGGAAACTTTCGCGGTACGTTTGGAGGAATTCGTCTTGAGTGTACCAGGAAAAGAATAATCGACTTGCAAATTTATAGTTTGTACATTTGTTCAGGAAGTGTGTGGCATATACCAAATATGTCCGACCTAGATATCCCAAAAAAAGATCCTATTATGGAAGATCCATGGTATGGAAGGACCAGGAGGCTTGGAAGACCGAAATTGCGAAGAAAGAACGAGTGGCTCATGATGTCAGGACAATGCAGACTTATTTATATTTCTTTGAAATACCCACTTTGTATAAAACAAGTCAGGTTTAATGGGTCCCGGACTAGCAATTGTAAACCCGGCTCAATCTTTGTCCATGAGAAAAAAATGTGATAACTTTACCCATAACTTTATTATATTTATACTCAAGATAAATCTGCGTTTATAGTATCCATGATACACTAAGATAATTGATAAGATTTGACTAGTTTTCGTCCATGCCACCTCTGGAATAGTTTTATGTATTCCCGGTATCCAATGATTAAATCAGCAACACTGAACACGCAAAGCTGTCGGTGTGATTTACTGCCCATTACCACTTAGCTATATTAAATCTACAAACTTCAATAACTCGCTTTTATACATTTCTATTATTTATTATGCATTCAAATTATCTACTCTTCATCTGATTTACATATTTAAAGTATGCAATTAGCATTCACATAAATAATACACGATTGGTAAGTATGAATGGATGTAAGTAAATCAACAACCAACAATAAATATTATACTATCATCAACAATTGACTGTTTAGAATTATCATTAATTGTTAATGTGTTTTCATCTCCTTTTCCTATACCTTTACACATTTTTATACAACTCAGGTTCAGTTCAAACTCAATTTTTATTTTTCATAGTGGTGATATTCATTATTATTCCAAAAGCCCAAAATAAATTCATATTTTTCTTCAATATTGAAATTTTGGACCATACTAATGATGTTTTTAAACCTAAAAAAACTTCTAAATTTTTTTTTAAATTATTAATTAAAAGTTTTAAAATAAAACAAATTTTTACTGAAAACAAACCGAAGATTTGTCACATAAATTTATTTACATTGTCTTAATGTAATTATATAAATACAATAAGATGCTTTTTTAAATTTTGTTATTACAACCATTGCTGATTTTCTTTTATTAATAATCTAAAGTTTCTATTATTTTCATATTTTAGTTTTTGAAATGTATCTCATACTATGTTTTTATATTGCATGTTTGGCATTGCTATTTTTTATACATATTTTTGTATTTTATATACATTTACATATTTACTGTTTCTAATATATAAATTTGTCTATTCGCATATTCATTTACATTTCTTATTTTTTTTAATATTCTCAGGTAGTTATCCTACATAAATATAAAAAGCTATTATTTTTTTTCTTTTGTTAATATTTGTTTTATTGTATATAGATGTGTTCTTTTTATTAATTTATTTTTAGGTTATTTTATTCTTATTTATTGTATATATATTATTTTTCTGTATAATTTATTTTATTTATTGTACATAGAGTGTGAATGTGATCTGTGAACACTATTATAAATGTCCTTAAGACAGATTGTAATATTTTTCAATAAATAAGCTAAAAAAAAAAATAGTATTTGAAACTTTGTATTAATTTGAAATTTTACATTCTAAATGAGCCTGAAATATAAATGTTTTATATTATGCATACACATGCACACATCTATTTATTTTGTGTTTTCTGTGTGTCACAATTAAAAAAAAAAATTATTTGAGCATATAAAAAATAAAAAGTATTTTAGTAGTCACATTCATAGATTTGATTGCATATTGTTTGGGCAAATGTACCGGTATTCAGTTCTAAAAAATCAGGAATATGGTGACAAGCACAGAAGTCATAAATTTACATATCGATGGTTAACTAAAAAAAAAAACGAGCTTATTTAAGAGCTTATTAGCTGCTATTTGTTATGGTATTATTTAAACAATTCCTGAAAACTATATGAACAAAATTGTACAAATTAATGATAAAACTAACTCTCTATAAGACTTACCCGCCGGGGAGGACACAAACTCTACGAAGAGGTCTTCGCTGGTTCCGATGATGGAGTACGGGAACTTGCCCATGCCGCAGAAGGTCCCAATCACAGGATACGTCACGTCCTTTCCGTCGTATATCTTTATGTAGTCGTACGGGCAATGCTCTGCCCCTGCAAATATAAATGACAATCATGTACTTATCAAATTATAATTTGAATTACATGCTACTGAAATCAACAAATGTTTATTCGATTCAGTGGTAATAGATTATAAACGCTAAGTATTAGGTTGCCTGAAAATATAACAATTGAAGAAACTCAAAGAGGCTAAAATCGATAAAAAGTAAGGAACAATTAATCTATTCTTACTCAAATTGAAAATATATTCGGAGGACACAGGAAAAACATAAAATCAACCCCATCGTTGATAGCACTTCATAGAACTTTCATAGTTAGGACATAGGACGAAGGTCTAGGGAAATGTCTTAAAATCAAAGCGTTTCGATCTCTGTTTTTAAAAGAAATAAAATGATTCTCTTCAGTTTCGCAAAAAAAAAATAACCATCATTAGTAAAGGAAACAAACGTTTTCATATATTTTAACAATAATCTTAAGTTCATCTCATTTTCTTTAAATTGAGCATCGACAACCCAAACCAAGAAGCACGCTGACAGCCACAACAGGACCGCCACAAGAACATCAGACTACTTTATTTAATTTTATGCGTGCTTTAATGGTGGTTGTTAATTTAGCGGTAGAGGAAGACAATTGGCAGAAGTAGGAACCCTATTAATGTTGTTTTATTATTGTATGTAATGACTGGCCGTATACATTTTATTCTCTATTTTTGGCAATTTGAATATTTTAATTACAACCAGAGATCGTTGTGTACACCGTCATTGTTGGTATTGGTATTTTTCTCGGACTTCAGGATCGGGGTACGCTTACCAACGAAGGGTGTTGTTTTGCAGAATTTCAGAGGATTCCATTATTTATTTTTAAATACAGACATTGAAACGTTTTGAATAAAAAGAATAAGCAGGAGTTTTTTTAAAGGAAGGAATTGCACAATTCTCAATCTTTTTGTATCTTGCCCGTTCTAGTCCTGAAGAAGACCTGCAAAGTCGGGTCGAAACGTCGGCTTTTAATAAAATAGTTTTGCCACTATTTAGTCTATTTATGATCGCAACCCCGGACCATCTCCTTCCTTAATAAATATCTTTTGATTATAGCACAAGAAAATTTAAATTTATTCACAAACAGTTAATAACCAGTATAAAGAGATAGCTCCGTCTAAATTAATTTAAGTAGATTAAGTAATAATAGTTGGACCATATAAATAATTCGCATAGAATATATGTCAGTGAACAATTGGCAATGGGAAATCTAAATAAGTAACTGCAATTTCATTATAACAGACCAAAACATGTGTACATATTAATACATATCGCACTAAAACGTTTGGAGGGCACATCTGTCCTCTCTCACACACGTACACACGTACACGTATCTGTCCTCCACATCCGTCCATCTCTACGTCACAAAAGCCACATGCTATAGGCTGATTCTTATAATTGTGCGATTTCGATAAGTTTTGGTTTGTTTCGTAGGAAATTTAGTAAACATTCAAATAATTGATGCAATCAACAAAAAATTTATACTTTTTGAGTTATTCGGAAAACGAGTTTCTTTTTCGTAATAGCTTTAATCCTGAAACTTGGAGAGTATGTGACTATAAATGGTCACTTCCCTATAAAATTCTCTTTTGTTTAATAACTCATACATTAAAATCCATTGCTCTTTTGAGCGATCTACACTGCGAAAAACTACCATATTATATATAAAGATATATTAACGTAATTGAAAACAGTAGAGAAAGGAGAATTTAAAACAAGAAATTGAAGAGTTCTTATATTGTGTTGGCACAAGATAATAATTCTATCAACATTTTACCATCACAGTAAATATTGCACGTGTGGAATATATTGTATTTTATGGACCTATTTTTAACATCTTAAACCAATATTAAGTTACTAGTTGTATTGAAAAAAAAATCAATTATAAATATTTTTCTGTTAATATATGTATGTATAGATATTCAACTTTTTTTAAAAATGTTATTAATTTATAAAACTGACGAGGATTTAGCAATGTAAATATTTTTTTGAATATGATTGATAGGCAGCTCAAAGGTCTGAATGATGGGAGATATAAAAAGCTACAGTATATCAAAATAAAATCAATTTATTTAAATCTAAAACCTCGATCCGGAGATATAGTATTTCATTTTACCTTATAAAGTTTAATCTGGAAGTCGATTCGATACGGTTTAATTAAAATACTGAAGATAAGTTAATCGAGGGGATAGGTCCGCAATTTGAGACTTTCATCCGAAATTCAATTAGCATAGAGATTTTTCAACCGCGTTGATTCATTCAGTCCTGGTTCGTTTAACCGCTGGTCGTGGTGGTTGGGGGAGTTAAGGTAGAGGCATCCGGGAGCCAGCCGCCAAATTAAAGGCATTCAAATTAAAATTTCAAGTAGCCAGGTTCAAGTATTAAAGTCGAGAGGCTCTTCCCTATGTTCTACCATTCAGAGCTTCCCGAATACCCACATTTCTCTCCTATTTTTCTCTCAATAGGAACCCTTTTACAAATTAATAAATAACAAAGGAGAAATGAAGTCGGAACAGACAGCCTCACAAATGAATAGGCCTGTTTAATTTTTAATTAGATTCTGTTCAATAATAGAACATCATTAATTTTTTATTTTAATGTTAAGAAAAACCAAATATAATTAACATCAGATATTTCTTTCGGAAAGTTAATAGATACAATAATATCTATTATTTTTCACAGCCTTATCAATCTATTAAATAATTATCATAAAAACGGTAATATTTTTAAAAATCTGCTTAATTCCCCCTCCCAGGTAGGTGAGGATATTGGAATACAGTCAGCATCCTAGATGATGAGGTTAGGATCATCAGGGGAGTAATACTTTAAGAAGAAATCGCGATGTGGTTTCCCACGATAACAGCACCCTCGTGTTTAGGTAGGACGATCTGTAACTGGAAAAGAGACATAACGTGGGTTTAATACAAAATGTCATTAAGTGACATTTCATAACCTTAAATCACTAAGAATTATGATGAATATATATTTTTTTTATTAATGATTTTTTTTTCATTAATATGATTTTCCTTTACCTAACTATTGTTTAAGATGTTCTTTCATTTTCTCTACCCAAAGCTTTCTATTGCATAATGCTATATCCCGTCAAGCTTTCTTCCACCGTGTCATTCCATTTTACCTTTGGTCTTCTTTTTTCCTTCTTTCTTCTAATTCTAGTTCCTACGTCATCCTACCGACCTATTAGTCTACTTCCGATATGTTCCAACAAATTTAAAAAAAAAATGCTTTGATTGGATTAGATAGATGAGATTGATAAGAATTAGATTAGTTATTGTTAAAATGTTACATTTCTTATGGAAAAATCTTATTTATACTAGGTAGCAAGATATCGAATGGTTGAATGACTTCGATATAAGAAAAATATATTCCTTTTGACAGGTGTGAATAACAAATGGGTCTTAGCAGGAAAAAAAATATCATATCTAAACAATAAAACACATTCAATATTTATGTTGTCGTGTCCTTCATTATATTGTGAGTTGTGTTTTATACCTAAATATAATATTTCAAAAATTCATCTAATAAATTAAAATGTAATGCAAATCTCAATACTGGTCCGTACTACTAGTCAAAGGTACCGTTCCATATGATATATAATTATATCATACGTGTGTATAAACATATCAGGAAAATATATATTAAAAACATTAAAAATAATGTTTTTTTATATTTCTTCTTTGTCTTTCTCACAATGCCATTTTTAGCGTCGAGGAGGCTCTATCCAGCGCAGCCACTCTCTCCACATTTTCCGGTGAAGGGTTTGTCTTTTCTACCTCCGATCCTCTGCATGAACTCCTGATATGAACTCTGGGACGCCCTCGTAGTCTCTTTTCTATGGGTCGAGCCTCTAATGCCTTTATAAGGCCCATGTCGTCGTTCATGCGGCAGACATGTATAAACCATTTTAGTTGCAGTCCAAAATGGTTTGGAGTTCAGGCACTTCCAGATGTTCTATGATAGTTTCGTTCCTAATGCGATCTCTCCTAGATTTTCCCACCGATCTACGTAGGAACTACATTTCTGCTGCTGTTATGAGACTGTAATTTTTTTCCAACATAGTCTAGCTTTCTCTGCCGTAGGTGAGAATAGGCAGGTACGTTCACTTGTAGACGTGCATCTTGGTCTTTTTATCCACTTCATGGCAGCTGAGGATACTGCTGTAGCATGCTTTATTTGCCTTGAATATTCTTTATGGAGTCTCAGCATCTATTACCAGAGTTAGTAATTACGCTACCTAAGTAGATGTAATCCTTCACTATCTTCAGAATTTCTCCGTTGCAGACTAATTGGACGTCTTCCTGTTATTCTCTCGCCATAGCTTAAACTATCTCCCTGTCTAACTGCTCTTGCCATTGGGAATGGTTTTGATTCTGTGCCATTTATCCTTCTGACACCAGTGGTCTACTGGTAGGTTGATTCCAAAGCCTCAATCAAATCTGCAGGAATTTTACTCTTGAATACATTTATTCGCATACCTTTAATTATTAGCTCTTCTTCCCATTCTACCAGTGCTTTCTGTAGTTTCATCTTTGAATCGGCGATGAGGACAATGTCATCTCCATATAAAAAACTCTATACGAGGACCGTTCTCATATTCCAGTTTTCTATTGCAGCCCCATGCAGTGCGACGCTTGCAGATTTTATGAATCTCGTCCATAAAATTTATATGCAGGAGGGGGCTTAAACTATCTCCCTGTCTGACTGCTCTTGCAATTGGGAATGGTTTTGATTCTGTGCCATTTATCCTTCTGACTCGAGTGGTCTCCTGGTAGGTTGATTCCAAACCCTCAATCAAATATCCAGGTATACCCTTGGCAACCAAAGAGTTCCAAATTTCTTTCCTTGGAACTGAGTCAAACGCAGCCTTTAGATCAAAAAATGTCAGGTACAGGTTTTTGTTTCTGTCCCAGGCCTTTTCAGCGAAGGTTCTAAGAATAAAGATATGGTCCTAAGTTTGCTTTTATATTTTAATGTTTA